ATTTTAGATTTGAGCTAGCTTTTGATGCAGATAGATTAGATTAGAAAGTGATGAAATATTTTCAAACATCATCAAAAAATTAAAGTCAATAAGTTTTCTTTATATGATTATCAAGATTATTGATGATTCTTTGATAACTCACACTCATTTCAACAAATAATTTTTAATTTCCGCATGTATTCATTTAAAAATTGACAATTTTTTCTGCTATATTAATTAATTTACTTTTTGTGCAAAAGAATTATAATGAATTTTAAGACACTGATAGAATAAGTATGTCTATTTCCAATCAATTTAAACATAGAAATCATTACTAATTGTTCATCGATAATATCCATTTTTTACCAGAAGTGACATTAGCTACTCCAACATTATTGAACTACAACAAGACAAAGAACCATTTCACAGATGTATTTGTTCATTAGTATGTAATACTGGAAACATGATGAGAATTTCATTTTCCAATAATCTTATTCCTAAAAATCTGTTGAGATTTGTTACTTGTTTATGCCCAATTCTTATTACATCATAAGTTTTTCATTGGTTGACCAAATTCTCAAAATATTAAAATGAAATATTGGTTTGATGACAATGATTATTAAAAATTACATTTATTTTTTCTCAAAAATCATTATTTTAGCATTAACTGTTTAATTTTGGATAAAGCAGATAAATTACTTGAGTTTGGATTTTTGGAACAAACAGATAAAATATTTGCAGCGTGTTCAAGTCCAAAATTACAAATGGCACTATTTAATGCAACATTGCCTTCAGGAGTTAAAAAAGATCCTATAAGGGTTGTTATTAGCAACAAGTATTTATATAAATATTATTAATAAATAAAAATGTTGAAGAAAATTTTTTTTATTTTCAAAAGAATGTGGCAACAGAAACTTTTAAACAAAAGTTTGTTTATGTTGGGCAAGAAGGGGGTAAATTGATAGCAGTTTATCAGTTGATATGAGAGGCTTAAAACCACCTGTATTGGTGTTTGTTCAATCAATTGAATGTGCCATCATCATATCAGGAGGGAATCAAGTCAGATTATCCTAATGTACTCGAGGAAGATTGTGAATGATGCAATATCCAAGCCCTGAGTCATTTTAAATTGTCAAAGAACAGTTTCCATGTGTGTGCGTGTTCAATTTCCAATGATTTAGTTAAATCAGCAAGTGATTCTTTTGTATGTTTGTATGATATCTATTATTTTAATGTTAATAATGGTAATGCAAAACAAATATACCAACTATGTTTATTATCACGACAAGGAATCTTATATAATTACCCATTGCTATATTATCATAATCAACATTTCCTTCATTAATGTTGATGAACTCATTCCATACAGCTTCGAGTTCATCAAGTTCATTGATCCATTGATCTTGAGGAGATGTCTGTGTGAATTTTAAATTCACGCACACGAAATTCAAATTAGCCAATCAGAATTTTGTATCCAAACACTCCCCCAAAATTTTTTAATTATAAAATTTCAAACTTCACAACATATAAAATAAAATATTAACAAATAACATACCGCTTTTGTAATATAAAGTTTCAATATTTCATTATAAAACTCCTCAATGATTTCTTCTGGGGGCTTGTACTTGGTTAGCCCATTGTTGAAATTATAGCACATCATGTTTGATGTTGTTAATTGAAATGCCATGTTAAGCCCGCCTTTTTAATTTGCTCACGAGTTAATATATGATGGTATTAATGTTGATGTTATACATTCCGAAAGAACAAAAGCTCAAGTATGAAATTCATTATGTGCGTGCACTTGATGATTGCTTTTATTATTCGAATAATTATTAAGTCTAATTTTTATAAAAAAAAAAACAGATTCAATTTTAATAACTACTGAATTAATGGCACGTGGTATGGATTTCAAGAGAGTTGTAAATTATGATTTTCCACAATCAATTCAAAGTTACATCCGCAGAATTGGCAGAATTGGTAGAGCAGATTAGGTGAAACCATTACATAAGTGATTGGAAGAAATAAGAGTATTGAAAAAAAAAAAAATTCTTGTATGATTGATTAATATATTTAACTATGATTAATAATCATGTGATTTAAGTGTAACAATAAATTATATAAAATCGACGTGCTTTCTGATAAACAAAACAAAAAATAAGATCCAAAAATTAAATAATATATACTAAATCGGGAATTACCAACACAAATCTAATTTTTTTTGCTAGTTAAGAAAATAATATGGAAATAACTTCTGTTAACAGTAATTACGTTGGCACAGAAAGATCAAAAAAACGAAGGAGAAGTAATTTTGATAATGTTGGAAAGATCGAAGAAATGAATATTCATGTAGTAGTCAGGTGCAGGTGAGTTTTACAAAGAATAAAATCATTAACATCAATTTGACAATAATTTTTTAACCATTATTGCTTAATATTTTGTTGTTCTTTGAAAAAAAAACAATCTTTTCAAATTAAAAAGAGCAAAGTTAGAAAGAGAGGAAAAAATTAAATCTCCAGTTATTATAAAGACTACATATCGTGATGTACAAGTACGCTTAAAACCCGAAGATCCGCCATGTAAATGTTATACTTTTGATAAAGTATTTGGGAAAGAAACAAGTCAACAAAAAATATTTGATTCTGTGGTTAACCCAATATTGAATGAGGTATTGGATGGGTTTAATTGTACTTTGTTTGCGTATGGTCAAACATCAACTGGCAAAACGTATACAATGGAAGGAGATTTGAATATTAGAGATAGTGTTAATGGTAGTGATGGCAATATGATTATTAGTCCAAATGCCGGTGTCATCCCACGTTCTTTATGCAGTCTTTTTCAAACTTTGGAATCGGAATCTGCTGATTATTCAGTGAAGGTTTCCTATATTGAATTGTATAATGAAAAATTGAAAGATCTTTTGTCTAATAATGGCCAGCAAAATTTGAAAGTTGTAGATGATGGTAATAATAAAGGTGTTTTATACGGACACGAAGAAGTGCCTTTAAAAGATGCTGTTGAAGGTATCAATGTTTTGAGACAAGGATCTATTAAAAGACAAAATGCTTCGACTAATTATAATGATAAATCAAGGTATTTAGCGAATAATAATTTAGTAATTATATAAAAAACTAGTATATGCATTAATTGAAATAATTACACATATATATGCTATGCTATTATTATTAATAGTCGTTCACACTCAGTATTCACAATTACAGTTCATATTAAAGAAACAATGCCTGACGGTGAAGACTTGTTGAAAGTTGGTAAATTTAATTTCGTTGATTTAGCAGGATCAGAATGTATTGCTCGTACAGGTGCTGAAAATAAACATGCAAAAGAAGCTGGAGTAATTAACAAAAGCTTGTTAACGCTTGGTCGATGCATAAATAATCTTAATGAACATTCTCTACATATTCCATATAGGTACAGTATATTAATTAATTAAATATTGTTAAGCTGGAATAATTAATTAATAATAATGATTTTTATTTTATTATTATTTTTATTATTAAGAGAGAGTAAACTGACAAGGTTGCTACAAGACTCACTTGGAGGTAAAACCAAAACATGTATTATTGCAACAATATCTCCGGTGAGATCAAGTCTTGAGGAAACGATATCAACGCTTGATTATGCAACTCGTGCTAAAAATATTCGTAATAAGCCGGTTGCTAATCAGCGTGTAACTAAAAAGGCATTGATTCAGGAATATGTATACCAAATAGAACGTCTTAAAGCAGATTTATCGGTAAGAGGAATGATTTCTTTTTGGTCTGAAATAAAATCATATATGTGTATATATAAAGAAATTTATATATTATTATAGGCTGCACATGGACAACATGGTTTTTACATTACAAATGAAACACACCAAGAATTTTTAGACAAACAAAAA